CTCCTCGGCCTTCGCCTTCTCTTTCGCGTCCTCCTCGCGGCAGAGCGCGGGGGGGGGGGGGCGGGCGAATCAGGGGGGAATTGTGGAGGGGCCCAGGGACACACAAATAGATAGAGAAATCCCAGGATTTCCTATAATTTGTCAATATTTCCTGGAGTTTCGTTTTCCCTTCCACTTCCCGTATTTTCCTATATGTCCCTGGGAATCGACGCATCCCTGATGTTAGACGGGGAACAGCTCAGGGGAGCGGCTCATGGGGTGAACCAAACAGTTGAGGCTCGAGGTTTGAGGTTTTACCGCTGCTTATCGGCGGCTCTCGGGCCTCGGGAAGCCTTGAAGCGGCTGCGCCTCGCCGGAAGCGTTCCGGGGGTGCCCAGATCATCCAGAATGGCCGCAAGAAGCCCGAAATATGATCCCAAAGGCCACCCAGGGGACGTCGACACGGAATCCGCGATGCGTCGCCGGCAGATCGGCGGCGGGCCCCCGACAGCGAGGCCGCACGCCCCTGGCCGGGGCGGGCGCCCGGGCCCCCGCCCCTGAGGCGGTGAGTGGGCGACGGGGGGTCGATGCGTCCCCCTTGGGTCGTCGTCGTTCCCCCCGCCCCGGCGTTGCCACTGAGCGAAGCACGCGGCCTGCGGGCGCCCTGGCGGGAGGGCGCCGGCGGTGGCGCCAGCGGCTGCCGAGGGGACGCGCCCCCACTGCCGGAAGGTGGTGCGCGCGGCAGGGCGCCGAGCGGCGCGGTGCCCCCGCCCTTCGCACGGGGGATGGGCGTGTCGTGCATGCGCGGTCGCATTGTTGCCATTGGCTCGGGCGGCAGCTCGGTGAAAAAAACTCTGCCCATCGTGGCTGGGATGGCGACGCTGCCATGCACGGTTCGATTCCTGGAATGAACCCCATACCGTACAGACATGTTCGTGTACGTTTCGCTTCCGTGTTGCTGCGTTTGTGGTGCTCCCGTGTCGCTACTGCATGTATGCGAGGGCGTGTGGCCGCCCCCCCGCCCCCGTCGCGCCTTTCCGCCCTCCCCCGGCCCGCCACCATGGGATCACCCCACGCGACCGTCCGCCTCTTCCAGCGGCCGACGGGTCTGGGGCCCCTGCCGCGTCGCCAACTGCCCACGTTCCTTTTTCTATTCCTCCTCCTCCTCCTCCTCTTCCTCCTCCTGTTCCTCCTCCTCCCCCTCCTCCTCCTCCTCCTCCTCCTCCTCCTCCTCCTCCTCCTCCTCCTCCTCCTCCTCCCCCTCCTCCTCCTCCTCCTCTCCTCCTCCCTCCTCCTCCTCCTCCTCCTCCTCCTCCTCCTCCTCCTCCTCCTCCCCCTCCTCCTCCTCCTCCTCCTCTTCTTCCTGCAAATTCCTGAGGAAGGATTGCACGGGAACGATGGAAAGTGATGCGTTTTAAAAGCGGCGCGCAATAAACAATCCATGGATAAGCACTTGAGCCAAATGCCAGCGGCAACGCTAACACCTGACTGCGAGATGTGCGCATATGCTCCCCACCCACTCGCACGATCATGCTCTAAGGCCCCCCTCGGCCAGACCGGCCAACGAGTGCGACGGTTGAAAACTCATATACAACAAGCTGGACGAGGGTTGGCCGAATCAATTCAGAAGACTACCGAATCTCCGACGCAGCTGGAATAAATTGGAGTGTTGGGTAGCCAGCGAAGTTGGACAAGTAGAAGACGGCTAAACAGCTTGGCGTAAACCCGCAGGGGCCTCCGAACGCGCGACGCACTTAGATTTGCCAACGCCGACCGCGGTAAGTAACAAGAGAGAGGAGAAGGGAAGTTGAGAATCACCTAGCCGAAGTGGCGGCGGCTAGCGGACCTGGCCGGCGCGGCCGCCGTGCCACCCAAGTGGCACGCCGGCTCCGGGGTATAGTCCGAATGGAAGACTGGATAGTGGTTGGACGCATTAATGGCATCGCAGAAATTGCCTGCCCGATATGCCACAGCATGCTCGTTGCCACCTAGCCAGCAGCCAAGGTCACCCTGTCTGATTCGCTTAACGCTGCGATCAACCATGTTGTTGAACCTGCACATCACTTCCCAAAAGCGGCGACCTGGGCCACGGAACTAAATTGGAAACGCAGAGTTGCATTCGAGCATCACGCGAAGTCGGGGCCAGCGCTCGGATCGGAGATCACGCTGACCCCTCTGGCCCACGACCGGAAACCAATGGCTGGCAGCCACGCCAGCCAGCACGCCGCTTCTTCGCGGCGGCAGGAACGATGGCGCACGTCCCTGAAAAGGAACTCGCGGACGTCGACGACCCGGTGGTTGCTGGATATCGCCGCCTTTGACTCGGTTTGATACATGCTAACTGCTAACCCTCGGCGCTAACATCGGCGCCCTCAACTCGCCACTGCATAACCCCATCCACCTCGCACTGCCCGCAGAAAATTACAAGACTGTCCGCGAGCTCAATGAAGAAATCCGCCAATTGATGTCGAAGCGCATGGTAACAGCGCCCGTGCGAACTGCACCCTGGCTGTTGCTTCTTATTTGAAAAACATCGTGCCGAACATATGTTAGCATTCGCCCTCTTGCACTTCCGGGCACGCCTGGAAGAGCACCTGCGTTGCGGGCTGGCCCTGGCAGGGGCTGCAGCAACCGCGCAACAATTCAGCAAACGAAAGGTCGAGCTGATTCGGGCTTAACGGAGGGCGGAAGTCACGAGGTAACTTAGACTGCAAGTGGTTGATTTGATAGGCCAGCACGCGGGCAACTCGCTCCTCCGCGCAGGGGGGGGGGCCTGCAACATATTCCAACGGCAACGGTTCGCATGCGCCCCCAAAGCGGAACAGGAAGCTGGCCCAGTAGTCGAAGGTGTCGTCATGGTAAAATCTGACCAGTTGGATCCTTTAACTATCGCGAGACACCGCACTTGACCCACTCGGCGCAATAGCTCCTCCAAGAGGCATTACGCACTGATCGGGCAGAGCATCAGTAGTGGCACCACGCCCCTAGTCGTCAACACCCTTGACCCTTTTCCGCGTATAACTGGGGCCGTTTGCGGTGATTAACAAAAACGCACGCACGGTGACGGGCCGAAGCTTCTGGGCTCGGAGGTCCCGTCGTCGGCGACCGCGCATGCTGGCGGAGGCGCCTGCAACTGCCCGCCCTTCACAGCGCCCGCCATGAACTGACCAGCCCTGGCCTCGCCGGGTAACTCGCCTGCCCGGAGGCCGCTCGGCGACCCCCCCCCGCGGCTGCGCCACTGCCGCCAGGCGGCCGACTGCGGGAACGGGCCCGTCACTCATCCGAGATCTTGCCAACCAAGCGGCCACGCATAGAGTCGCCCTCCGCGGCCCCCGCCGACCCAACATGCGGCGGCGCCTTCTTTCGACGGGCTTGACGGGCAACCCAGAGCCCGACGACGTGGACGAGGTCTCCAACGTCGGTATCTCCACTACCCCCCCCCCGGCGCGGCCTCGGGCGGTGGCCCCGCGCAGGATAACGCCAGGGCCCCGCGAGTTCCTTCGGCGGCAACTTCGGCGCAGCCTCCGGGGGAGGCCCAGCCCTGGGCTACACCCGAATAACTGGCGGGGAATGCGTTCCAACACCGCCTGGAAGAGTGAAGATATCTCGGGCGGTTAGCACACCGCGGGAAACGGACCAAGCGCGACGCTCAGTTTGATCCACCGAGCAAGCAACGTCGGCCTTGATGTTCCGGCGCGCCGGCTCAGGGAAATGGGCAGCGGCGGCGCCGATCTGGCGCGCAAACTGCACGATCGCCGACGCGCCCAGCAACGTTGCGGCGCTCAACCCGGCGCGCCCCCCATCCGCGCCCTCGGGCCCGTTTAACGCCCCGACCCTCGCACCGAGGGCCTCCGCCCGCGCCCCTCGCTGCCCTCGATGCCCCCTGGCCCGCCGGAGACAACCTGCGACCGTCAAGTTGGCGCCGTTGCACAGGTCGGCGGCAGCGCTGAGGATTTTCGCCGGGTCGCACGGCGCCTGGAATAGCTCGGCTGGGCCGCCGCCCCCGCCCGCCGGGGGGTTGCAAAGATGCGGCCGCCGCTAGTTCATCGGACGAGAGAAGGAAGTGGGCGTCGAGCACAATTAACCTGGGCCGCAATTACCTGAGGCCGCGAAGAGCTGCAGCGCGTGCTAGCACCCCGCTGCAGGCACGAACCGACGTCTGCCTGGTTGCGCAAGTCAATTAACAGCACGCATGCGTTTAACAAGGGTATCACTGCTGACGCATTTAGCGCAAGCGTCGGCAAGGTTACCACCTGCACCTACTCTCTCCACTCGGAGACTGCCTCCCCATACCTTCTCGCAACCAAAGTTGGCATACTTCCATGCATTAAACTTGTCCTCAGCCTCCTATGCTAGCAATTGCCATGGCCGCCGTAGCGTCATTATTTATAAATCTGCGCGGGGATGTCGAAGTCCCTGAGAACTGCTCGTAGTCCCAGCCCCACTGAACTTCTGTCTCCATCCCACGATATCCAGCTTTCCCCGAGCATAGTGCGATAACACTCTGCGTTGTGCTCCACTACGATATAATGTGTCATCCTCACTTGGCGATTCCCCCACTCGTGGGCTTGCTCTGCTTTTCTCGCACCTGGCATAATCAGCGTCGGTACATACCAACTCCCGTGGTAGGCCTGGCACTCACATTCTTGACTGCATCGACTTTGGCCTGGAATGCTTGGTCAGCTTCTCGAGGTTGTTCCGGGCTCCATTGGAAGTTGGTCATATGCCTGGCTAGTTCTTCACTGCATACCGAATATCTGGTCGGTCTCGCGCCAAGTAGTTGGCCCGCGCTACGAGAGCTCGACACGCGCGCGCGTCTCGCCGAGATAACTTCTCTTCATCTGCCTCGTAAAATGGCGTCGTTGTTTCCAGGTATACAGGATTGAACTACGCTGTTATTCTGGCCGAGAGCTTTTAGCAAGTATCTGCCCACTCCTGCGATCCGCCTCGTACTACGGAGGTCGCAATTCGACGAGTGCCCCGTGGAATATCCGAACCATCGCTCGGCCATCCTCTCCGATCACTCCCCGGCCCAACATCTCCGATGCAAAACT